CAGCTCAAACCCACGGGTGAATGGAAGACACCAGAGAAAGAATATTCTCCAGAAACAAGTGGCAGGACTCTGGTAACTGACCTTCCCCAGGCTACTCATCCGGGACCCACAAAACTTTCTGAGTTGCTCAGACCAAGGTGTGTTAGTGTGTTATTATGGACAGCCTAGTGCAGATGTCTCTCAGCCAGATGCCAGCTTTGGGCTCAAGTGAATCTAAAACGAAGAGACCTTACCCAGGAAGGGTCCAACACCCCCAGAGAACTCTGGGAAACTGACTTCACCAAGATCCAGCATGCTGGGGGAGGATAAAAGTACTTGTTAGTTTTTATAGATACCTTTTCCAGGTGGATAGAAGAGTTCCCCATCTGGAATGAAACTGACCAAATAGTAGCTAAAAAGCCCCTTCAGGAACCGGTCCCTAATTTGGCCTCCTATTAGTGATGGGGTCTGATAATGGTGTAGCTTTCATAGCCAAAACCTCCCAATTGATAGCTAAAGCTTTGGGCATAGATTAAAACCTTAATTGTGTATACAGACTGCAGAGTTCTGGACAGGTAAAAAGAACAAACAGGGCATTAAAGGAAACCCTAATAAAACTCTCCTTAGAGTTCAGCAAAGGATGGATAGGCCTCCTTCCCTTGCTTTGCTTAGCTTGATGCACCCCATATAGGAAGGGATTTACCCACTATGAGACTATCTTTGGAAGACTTCCCCACTGCTTCCCAGGCTCAGAGAGCAGCAGTTGGTAGAATTTCCTTAACCATTCCTTTCCCAAGTCACTACAGGCCCTCCAGTTCTCCACTGAACTATCCGAGAGAGCCAATTGATCTCAGAGTCCACTACCACTTTCCCCTTGTTGGAGTCCAGTGATATTATCTGGTTCAAATGAGTAGCCAAAGGGGCAGGGAAACTATCCTGGAATGGACCCTACAAGGTGATTCTCTCCACTCCACTGCAGTGAAGGGAGCTGGCATCGCACCACGGATCCACCACGCCCAGGTCAAGAAAGCAGAAGCCACAGCTCCTACTACCAAATGGACTGTCTCTGGACTATGGATCCATTGAAATTAAAATTTCATTGGGCCCTAGGTTCTCCCACTCCGTGCCCCTCTATCTCCTCCTGAGTCTTGTGTTTTTCACTATGGGTATGAATACAGGGTAATGGTCCAATCCCCCAGCCCTTAGGCCTGGACTTTAAACTGAGGAAGACAGATACAGGGAAGGCATTAGACTACAAACCAGCAACCCATATTACATCTTGACCTTTGCTCATGGATGCCCACTTTAAGTGTTGGGTTGTATGGAGAAAAGGAAAGATATGGGAATTTGTCATCTGAGATAGGAATACAGGGTTTACAGTTCTATGCATGCCCTGCAGCTGGGCCCCTTAGTTTCCAGAAACAAGGGAGTTTCCTTTACAAAAATTGGGCTTGTAAAACTGAGGCTTCCTGAAAAACTCTTTTTAAAGATTCTGGCCTTTGGGAAACAGGAAAAACCTGGGGAATCAGACTCCATGCCACAGGAAGGCACCCTGGAGATAGAGTTTATCACTCACAGCCAGAAATCAGCCAGGTTTGTGGTTAAGTTTAGACACCTGGCCCTTGTACTACATAGGATAGGAATTAACCAGACTGTCAGCCCATTGCCTAACAAAACTCACTGTGACTGAGGGCAGGCAAATTAGTGTTACAGAACTTACAAGAGGAAGAGACTTGTCTAATCTTCAAAACCTTTAACCTAGATATTTCCCCTTATTCTGATGCCTGTTATTCTGACTTATGGCTTAGTTCAACTGGATAACAGCAATATTACCGAGCCCCCGAGACTACTTGGTGCGTGTGTGCCAATAGTATGACTAAATGTGCCTCATCTGATGCTTTCCAACCTAAGTAGGCAGGTTGATCAGGACCTGAAGGTATTAAAACAACAGTTACCTTATAATCGTACAAAATTGGAGAGCCTTAGACTTACTTCTCATGAAATAAAAAGTGTGCATTGTAATGGTAAAAGTAAAATGTTGCTGTTGCCTAAGTGGCTGCAGTGGGCAGTGGGCCATGAGACTACACCGCAGGTCCCCAAATGGCAGCAGGCAGTGGGCAGTGGGTCCTGCGACCACAGTGGGCCACGAAGGCAGCCAGTCCCAGGCAGGGAGCCCCCAAGTGGTCTGTAGTCTATGAGAGTCAGTGGGTCCTAGGCACAGAGCCACATGGCAGGTGAGAGACAGAGACAGATAGGCACGCCATTAGTGGGTTACAGAAGGGAAGGGGAGAGGGAGGGAGAAGGGGAAAGAGGAAAGAAACAGAGGGGGGTGTGAGGTGGGGGGAGGAGAGGATCCAGGGCAGCAGCTACCTCTTTGGGAGAGAGACAGAAAGAAGAGGGACTCTGGCTGCAGGCAGGAAGGAAGATCTGCATGCCTCAGTGGTGAACTGTAGGGGGGGGGGTGCTTGTCTCTTAAAGGGACAGGACAGACCATTACATACATGGCTTTACAAAAACCTGTTGTTTCTATGCTAACTAATTAGAATTTTTTTTTACCATGATTTTAAAAAGGGGGACAAAAACATAATTGGTAGTCTCTGTTCTCTTGTCCCGCCCCCTCCCCTTCCTAGCTAACTGCTCTGCTATCAAAACTGACTAGCCCTTTAATTCTTATTCAGATTGGATTAATGGAAACATACTTCATTTTAAACCATATATCCAATTATGTATGAGTTCAGTAAAGTTTTTTTTTTCGAGACAGGGTTTCTCTGTGGCTTTGGAGCCTGTCCTGGCACTAGCTTTGTAGACCAGGCTGGTCTCGAACTCACAGAGATCCGCCTGCCTCTGCCTCCCGAGTGCTGGGATTAAAGGCGTGCGCCACCATCGCCCGGAGAGTTCAGTAAAGTTAATGGTTCTTAGAACCAAGTCCACCTCTTGAGAACAGGATGAGCTGATGATTTGACTCATTCACTAAGACCAGTGGGGAATGTAACAGGGCCGCAGACCTTAGTAGGTCCTCAGATCTTAGCACAACTGATACCATGATGGAAGTACCATTCAGGCAGCTCAGTAAAACTCAGCACATAGACAGCACCACGTGCCAAAAATGAAAACAAAGACCTAATCTATCAAAACCTATAGTTCTAAGAAAGTCTCTAAATGTACTAACCTTGCTTTTTGGCTTCTGTAGTTCTGCTTCTGGCTAATTGCTTTTGCTAACTGAAGCTTGTTAGTCCAGAGCATGGGTTTTGTGCTTAAAAGCTCATCTTGAGAAAGGCTCAGGGCTACACTGGGATCCTAAACACCCAGTGTAGTTGCCAGCTGGCTCATAAAGACTTTCTGTTGGTTTAAACCCATGTCGGAGTAGTCCTCTCTGGTGAATACTCCACAACAAATTTGAAAGCCAGAACTGGGTACACACACACACACACACACAGAAAGAAAGAACGGTAAAAGGAAGGAAAGAAGAGAGGGAAAGAGGGGGAGAAAGAGAGACGTGTAAGATAGTTTCATTTGCTAACATTAGCGATACTGGATCTTTGCACTATGGGAATGGGCAAGCATGTGGAAAAGTTTCAGCCTTTCTCACTTCAGTTCACTTTCTCTTAGCTTTAAAGCTAAGACATTTGTCACTTTAAGGGCTATTTAGCCTTTGAATACTCTTTCTTCTTTTGCAGATGTTCATATTTTAGGAGGAAATGGGTGGAACAATAGAACACATACGACATGGAAGTAAAAAAGAAGTTACTGAAGGCAAAAAAGGGTACAAGGAAGAATGGGGGAAGGGGAGGAGAATCAATAAAAACAAATTATGCTTAAAAATGCTATAGTGAACCTTATTCTTTGTATACCAATTAAAAATATTAATCTAGGCAGACATGGTGGTGCACACCTTTAATACCAGAATTTCTGAAGCAGAGGCAAGCAGATCTCTGTGAGTTTGAGGCCTGCCTGCTGTAAGTAGTAAGTTCCTGGCCAGCCAGGATTACATAGGGAGGTCCTGTTAAAAGAAGAAAGGAAGGAAGGAAGAAGGAAAGAGAAAGAAAAATATGTTAAAAATGAAAATGAGACATATCAGAGGAATGAAAACCTTCTATAAAGACACTTGATTGGTAGCTAGATAAACACTGTCAGGTACTGTGAAGAATTTAATTTTGTATCGGGTCATTATTGTAAGCGTCTTGGTCTGGTTTTTTGTTTGTTTGTTGGAGAGAGCATCTCACTATGTAACACTTGGTGTTCTGGAACTCACTGTACAGACCCAGCTAGCTCACAGAGATGCACTTGCCTCTGTCTTCTGAGTGTGGGGATTAAAGGCATGACACCATGCCCAGCTACTGTATCTTTTAATGGTTGAATTTCTTTCAATAAACTGGTGGGTGGGGTTTGGTCTTCTGATTGACGGCCGTCAGACCCTTCCATTGTCTCTAGTTGCCTATTGGTGGGGAAGCTAACAGTAGGGCAGTCAGTCTTTTGGGAATCCGCAGAACTGTCTTCATAGGAACCAGGACACTCTGAGGAAACTGCTACAGCTGTATGCAACCTCAGCTGATGCTCAAATCCACATTCCTAATGCAGACGTCCTGTGCTAGTCAAAACGTTTTCTAGGCAGCTTGCATTGGCTTTAGAACACTCCGTTCTGGGCAAAATAAACCTTGATAAACTCTGTATTACCACGTTCCTCTTTACTTGGGAAGGGAGGGGGAGCACTTCCACAATGACTTGGCAAAACAATGACTCGGTGCTAAGGCCAGGCTTGTGATTCAGTTCATAGGGAAGATCTGCAATTGGGGGAGCTAGAAACTCCACACATGCGGCACTGGAACTGACAGTTACAATCTGTATACAAACATGCCTTATCCTTTCTCTTGCTTTAAAACCAAGCTATTCTCTATGTGCTTTTAGATTGCTCTGGCAGGTTTCTTATTGTACACTACTCGCCCCCTCTCCACACCCTTACTATTACATTAGGCTCAGTAATGACTTCGAAGTAGACTGTGGTTATATAATTTTTTATTATTCAGATTCTTAAAATCTGTTTTGAGATTTCATACACGAGTACTGTATTTATATTGTTTCTACCCCTCCCGCCCCCCAACTCTTCCTGCGTCCTCCCAATACCCTCCCAAATTCATAATGTTTTCATCTTTTAATTATGATTGTTACATATATATTTATTTACATGCATATGTGTATAAAGAAATACAGATGGGTGGTGGTGCATGCCTTTAATCCCAACACTTGGGAGGCAGAGACAGGCAAATCTCTGTGAGTTCAAGGCCACCCTGGTCTACAAGATCTAGTTCCAAGACAGGCTCCAAAGCTACAGAGAAACCCTGTTTCAAAAACTCAAACAGAAAACCACAACAAAAAAGAATAAACTACAGAAAAAATGGAGAAGATCCTGTGCATTCATGTTCAGTGACGTGCTGTTTAGGCCAGCTCTAAACTGTTGGAAAAGAAAGCGAACTGCATGGAAAAATGTGAAATTGATATACTCCGGAGATGATCAGAGGAAATCGTGTGGCACTTGAGAGACAAGAGAGAATATATGTTATTGACAGCTCTCCAGACTCTCTGAGACCTTATTTGACTACATCTCCTTCCTTTAGACTCAACAGAAAAAAATAAATGTGAGCTTAAAATGCTCATCTGGCCATATCACTGATATATGCACATTTGAAAATCTTTTAAAAGATTTATTTATTTGTATTTTATGTGCATTGGTGTTTTGTCTGCATGTATGTCTGTGTGTGGATATCAGATCCCTGGACTGGACTTATATACAATTGTGAGCTGCCATGTGGGTGCTGGGAATAGAACCTGGGTCCTGTGGAAGAGCAGCCAGTGCCCTTAACAGCTGAGTCATCTCTCCAGCCTCCTTTTAAATCTTCTCCAAGCCACTTTATGTGGTTTTTAGTTCTTTGCAACTCAAAAAGACCTGACTAGAAAAAGAGTTAAAAGACCTTGACAACAATAAATGTTTGTGGAGGAAACTGCGTGTGTGCTGAGTAGTGTGCGTGGAGTAGCGTGTGCGGAGTAGCATGCGTGGAGTAGCGTGTGCGGGGTAGTGGACACACAAGGCCAGCAGACTGCAGTTGCTGGAAAACTTTTCAAAAGGTGATGGAGATCCTCTGAAATGAACCCAAGAAAGCTCTTTCTTAACTTGGTTCGTAATCCTTTCATTCAATCACTTATCTGAGATCCCGGATGTTTTCATATGAGAAGGAACACTTGCTTTCAACCTGTTTGCTTAAAAAGTCATCACCAAGGGGGCAGAAGATGAATTTCAGGGTTTTGTTTTTGTGCCTTTTTTTTAAAGTTCTTTTCTTGTTTTCCCTTTGTTCTCCCCTTCTCCCATCCCCACCTCCAGGAAAACAAAACACACACCCACACCCTGTGAAAAAACGTAAACAAGCTAACAACTGACAGGCACAGCCAATTATTGGACTAGTGAAAGTCAACTAATGAATGCATGCATATACTTACACAAAGCAACCTTTTGCCCATCATTCTCTTCCCTGCTTGCATTTAATTCTAATGAAAGATATTTTAAGATAGCTTTTTTAATGGCACTGCTGCTTATGACAGAGGTAATAGCTATGATACACCTCCTTACTATCTTCTTCTTGTGAAATCAAATTAAGTGCTAACTAAGCCTTTTATTCTTAGGAATAATCGTCGTACAATTGTTTGTCTAGCATCTATTAGAAGTCCTCAGTCATTCTGGAATTGCTCGGCCTTTCTATGAACCTCCTGGAGGACTGCTGTCAAGTTCGTCTCCTCAGCAGGGTAAGATGTCTGCAAAGCACGTACACACTTCCTACTGTAATCTGTTGCTCAGCGATGCAGAGTTTCATCTAAGTGAATACACACAGCAAGGTACATAGTCAAGTTCAATGTGCGTTACGAAGAAACAGCTTGGAAGCCATGGCTTAATATTTCTCAGCAGTTTTAATTCCGTGGTTATATTTAACTGCATTCGCTCCAGAAATATATACCTCTACTCTCTATGTTGATGCACAGCTTTCATTCAATGGCATCCACTCCACAGTCCAGAGAAGGTCGGTATGCAGATAGACTGGAATGACTCATAAGAACAAAAGGTCCAAGTGGTTATGATGAGAGACGTGGCATTGTCCAAGATTATACAGAACACTCAAGAGCCTAGAGTGATCAGTGTGTCTATTTCTAAAGGATGCAGTTGGTACGGGAACAGAGGAGGGAAACTTTGGGGGCTTTTATTTCCTGGATGATTTTGATGGTCACTCACGATAGAAAACATATTCAGTGTAAGAGGTCCAGATCCTGTCATCCGTTTGGTCATGTGTGGCAGTGCAGGTGCCGGTGGAGTTGCATGCTACCATGTGGAAGCCAGCATCAGCTAGTTTGTCGAAGGCTTGTTCCAGAAAAGTGAATTTAAGGTAGTATCGAGACGTATATCGCTCAGGAGGGCGGTCTGGATCTCTGCTCTCATTCAGAGTGTCTCCGAACACTTCTTTGGCTAGTGAAATCTTACCGCACACCATGATTCTGGCCACACGGCGGAATTTGGAATCTGTTTGGATGTCCCTGCCCAGAGTATAGGAGCCTCTATAGCCAATAGTGATGAAGCCAGACTTTTTGAGCTCAGAACCAGTGGCAGCTCTGAGGACTACGGAATTATCAGGGCCACTAACATGGATGCTATTAGCTGAAGAGAAATTAAAAGTGGCGTCAATGCTGGGGGAAAGCTCTTCTACATCAATTGGACACGAGTCATTGACAACTGAGTTGAGGTTGTTCATTTTAAGAGCCAGCATCTTGGCAAGTTCTGGCAACTTAAAGTATTCTGCTTCTCTGTGGAGCCGGCCACACTCTGGGAAGTGGTCAGGAAGCACTACTTGCAGGTCTCTCATGTAGTCTAGGACATAACGAAAGAGAAAGCCATCTCGATCTATGAAGAATCTCCCTTTGTTGTCCTGGAGCAGTGAGCAAGGGTTCTTCACACTGAACATTTCCCAGAGCCGGGAACCGGGAATACTGATGAGAGTGGGGTAGCGAGTTATGTACACCTGGCCGCCTACATTGAGTTCAATAATCTCAGGGAAATTGCTGCAATCCTCAGATGGGTTGGCACCGCTTGACTTTTCTGGCATGGCCATGGTGACCTGAAAATAAACAAAACATTACTTTTGAATAAAAATGTATAGTATGGGGAGTCCGTTCATAATCATTCATTTTCTGCATACATATAGTCTGTGTATCACGAAACCCAAGGCTGGGGAGATTGCTCAACTTGTAAAAGCACTTGCCATGTAAGCCTGATGACCTGTTTGATCCCAAGCCCAGGTCAAAAGATGGATTCAGTGCCCTCTACCTGTAAGACCAGATGCCTATAAGAGGTAAGGCAGGGAGAACTTCCGAGAAGTTCATGTGGCAGCTAATGTAGTGTGTAGCACAGAAATAAGAGAGATTCCATCTCAACAATGTACAAGGAGGGAACTGACTCCTGAATCCTGTCCTCTGACCTCCATGTGTAGACCTTGGTACACATGTACACACACACACACACACACACACACAGCCCACACTTATTAATTGATTGGACAGGAGAAAAAATCAAACCAAACAAACAAAATAAATCAAACCAAACAGACACATTATTATTTGTCTTTGTGTTTCCAGCACAAATAGCTCACATTCTTTGACTTTTCCTCCTGTTAGGACCACAATTTTACGTCATCTACATTGCAATTCTAAATGCTGAGTCATCGTATTGATTCATCCCTTTCTTACCCATATTTATCAATAACCTAGAAACTATTCCTTTGTGACGTCTCTTGGACATACATTGTTACTACTGACACTTATTTTATATTGCACACTAAAGTAAGATCTTCCCAATTGCTTTGTCTTTCTCTGGCTATTACACATTAACATCCATCTTTCCTACCGCCCAACACAAACTATTCTAAATTCTGCCACCAGATCAGTTGCTATGTCATCTTCTTTGCTTACTGCTATTAAACAATTGCAATTTCCCTACATATCAAATCCAAACCTCTTACCAGAAAACTCAAAGCTATAAGCTAGTTGCATCTCCTCTTTGATGACAAGAATATCGAACACTATATAGGACTTATGTGCCAGGCCAACAGTGAAATACACATGTTTTTTGTACATATAAGTATTAGCAGAAATAATCAAAAGGAGTCAGTAGAATGTGTGTGGTAGTTAATAAGAAGCTCTGTGGTATTCTGCTTGTGTTTAGATACCAGTATAACTACTTTTTAGTTGTATGTTGGGCAACCTTTTTGAATCTGTTATTGAACAGTTTGTGAATAATAAAAATAATTACTTCATCTGTTAAAAACAATGCCCAGCACATAATTTAACATTTTTACAATGAGCACAGGTTAATAATATAAACTAAATTACATGTAAAAAATGAATCTGGGGCTGGAGAGATGGTTCAGAGGTTAAAAGCACTGGCTGCTCTTCCTGAGGACCTAGGTTCAATTCTCAGCACCCACATGGCAGCTCACAACTGTCTGTAACTCCAGTTCCATGGGATCCAACACCCATTGCAAAAAAAAAAAAAAAAGAATGCACATAAAATTAAAGAAAACAAATAAATCTTAAAACTGTGGGAAAATAAAACGAAGGCAAAAATATTGGGGGCAAAGGCTGCCAGAACCAAGACTTCAGCCCTGAAAACTTCAGTTATTAGCCAAGGATCCAAAATCTTTTTTTAATTAATTAATTAATTTATTAAAGATTTCTGTCTCTTCCCCACCGCTGCCTCCCCTTTCCCTCCCCCCCCCCCAATCAAGTCCCCCTCCCTCGTCAGCCCAAAAAGCAATCAGGGTTCTCTGCCCTGTGGGAAGTCCAAGGACCACCCACCTCCAAAGGATCCAAAATCTTATGAACCAGAGTTAGAGTCAATCCAAGGCAGTGGTTCTCAACCCTGTGGGTTGCGACTCCTTTGGGTTTTTGAATGACCCTTTCAAAGAGATATCAAATATTCTGCATGTCAGATAAATTACTGTTCAGAACAGTGACAAAGTTACAGTTACAAAGAAGCAAGAAAATAATTTTGAGGTCATGGGTCACCGCAACATGAGGAACTGTATTAAAGGTTGCAGCATTAGGAAAGTTGAGAATAAGAACTGCTATGCTAGGGAGTCAAGCTGGGCAGTCTGGTTTGCCACTCACCTTAACAAAGCAGTGTTAGCTAATTTCAAAAGGACAGAGCCTTTATTTGAGAGAAGAAATCAGAATCAAAATCAGGACAGAAGTGCAGTGGAACTTCAATTGCCACCTTTCTCAAACATATTTTTAAACATAAATAGAAATTTTACTCTGAAAGTTCTAAGTGACATTATTTATCACAGTTAGGAATCTCAATGTGTCTGTTTGGTTTGGTTGTTGTTTGTTTGGTTTGATTTTTTTTTTTTTTTTTTTGCTTTTAGAAAGAAACCGGAAGTGATTTCTTTAATAATGAACAAATCTAGCTCCAAACAGCCCCTTGTGCATTACAACATGAAATCAGGAAGGACATACTCTGCAAACAGGAAGATGTTTATCTGTTCGCATATTTTTGCAATGTATAACTTCTTTCTCCCTTCCTCCATCCTAGTGGTCCCCACTGAGTTGCTGCTGTTCATAGGAAAATAAACAAGCAACAAACACAGAATTCTTTTAATTGAACCACCAGTCAGTTTCTGAAATGCTTTTTTTCCCCTTTTTGTAGGGAGTCTGGGGGGCAGAAGGCAGCCTTTTAAGAAACCCTGAAATGCCTCATTTATTCTCTTTCATGACTAAACCCGACGTTGATAAGGGTTTGTTGGTAGTGCCCTCGGTAAATAAAAGAAATACGGGTCCCTGGACGGAGGAAGGAAATGAGGTGACATAACACAAATGGCTTAAACCAGACTGAAGAGAAGACAGATGAAAGCAGCTGTCTTCCAAGCCCGGAAGAACTGAGCTGTGTATTCTAGTGCTCCAAAGCCAGCAAGGAAACGAACCAACGTCTCTCTCCCCTTCTGACTCTGAATAATCCTACTTGTAACCAAGATCCATGTTTTCCAAAGATAAAAGTCAGCTACTGCAAAGTACACCATACTGTATGCTTGTCAATATGATACGTGACTGCCTGAAAATGTTCAGGAAGACGCGTCTGAGAAAACCAGACACTATAAACAACCATCTTCCAATTTCATTAAGCTTGAAATCCCTATGTGCTAATTCCTATTTCCTCCCTCCTTCCATTTTCTTCTGGAGTCCTTTACTTTTTTACCCCTCTCCACTGGCTTCTGTCCCTCTCCTCCTTTATACCAATGTGTTTTAAATATTCGCTCCTTTGTAAGAACAAACCCACACATTTAAATTAGAAAAGCAATTCTGACCTTTTACGCCGCACCAGTTCAGAGATCCAAGAAACCAAAGTAGTTAACAGTTAAACTGAAAGTGTAAGCAAAGGGAGAAAACAACTTCAAGAATTAAGAAACAGTTCTTTGCCTCAGCAATATTCCCCTTTGCTTCCAACTAGCTTGTCTCTGTGACTTTTTATCCGCTCATAAAAGAAAATGTTAGCATTCAGATGCATTGAAACCAATCAAAATGCTTTTAAAAATTAACCAGATGCTGAAAAACAATCTGAATTTTCTGAATTTCCCCTCAGGAAGAGCTTCGGCTGCTTTGGGAGCTCTAAGCTGCTTTCCAGACACAGGTTTAACAGTAGATCCTCTCTCAATAGAGAAACAACAGACGTGCCTAACCCCAGCGCAAATGCAGAAGCTCCGGAATTCAGAAGCAATAGACTGGAAAGGAAAGACAAGGAGGTTGATAGAATAGTTACCTGGAATCTCCAGCCTCTGAGGTACTGCCAAGCACAGCTTCACTGTTCTGAGAGCTCAGCGCCACGGAGGAATGCCTTCCTGTTCTCCCTCCCTCTTGCTGTGTGCTTTGGTGCTTGATTTGAGTTTTCCTCTGTAAAACTAGCTGTCCTGTAGACCCTCCTCCCTTGCTATGACATCCTTGACTTCCTCTCCAGCCCTGCCTCCCTACTCTGCAGCCTGAGGAAGAAGCAGAGCTAAGCAAAGGAGAAGGAAGGCATAGAGGGGGAGGGGGAGAGGAACAAAGGTGGTGGTGGCGGCGGTAAAAAGAGAAATTCTGTTCATCTTGGTTCCAGCAGAGCAAGCAAACATTTCAGTGACAGTTACATGAATCATTTGTAAGGGTCTCATTGTTTGTTTGTTTCTGAAGCAGGGCCTTCTTAACAACCCCAGGCTAGCCTTGAAATTTACATTCTTCTATGTCAGCCCCTGGAGTGCTGGGATCACAGACGTGGACAACCACATCCACTCTGAATGGATTTTTTTCAGTGAAGAATTGGTTAAATTCTGAACTTAGATTAAGTATAGTTACTTCAATGCGCGTAATCCTGTATGTCAGATGGTATGCTAAGTGCTGAAAATAAAGACACACTGGCCACATTTTTCTTTCTCAAAAAGAAATAAATTTACTATGAGTGTTTAACTGTTATGGATAAGAAAAGCACAGTGTTGTGGAAACAAAACGCAAGCAACCCGGGGCTAGTTAGAGAAATCTGAAGGCTTCCTGGAGGATAAACCAAAGTGAGTTTTACCAGACCAATAAGAATTGAGCCACAAGAAGAAAGGTGGGATTAGTCTTGCAGGCAGAAGGGACAGCGTCAACAAAGACAAAGAAGTGTGGAAAAAGCACACCGGGTACCAGGCGCTCCGCTCCATTTTGTTTTTAAAATGCTGGAGTCGAGAAAGTAGGACTGTCCCATTCCTAAATCCAAGTTAACGTTCCCCAGACATGGTATATACCCAACTAAAAACTCAACCCCTTATCCATCTAAGTCATTTTGTTGTGTGTGTTTCTCTTTATACTCACTAGTGAAATTATTGGATTGAAATGTGGATTTTTTAATTCAAAAATGGATCAAGCTTCTTCAAATCTTAAACTTCTTTCTCAGTCAAATAGTAAAACATATTTCTGAGAGGTTGATTTAAAAATGATTTGCTTTGGAGTGAGGTTATATCATCTGTATGTAGAAATCAAAAACCCAGACTGAATAGTATGGGGACGTTTTTGTATAATAAATCTTAGGTCAGTTTGTTCACTGAATTCTAGCAACTGAATGAAATTCATTAAAAATTTCTCTCATTAATATGTTTAACTGGCTTTGCTGATTTTTTTTTTGTCAACTTGACACAAACCTAGACATATCTGAGAAGAGGGAATCTCAATACAGGAATTGTCTACATCAGATTGCCCTGTAGGCAAGTCTGTGAGGGCATTTTCTGATTAATAACTGATGTGAGAGGGCCCAGCCCACTATGGGCGGTGCCACCCCTACACAGGTTGGACCTTGGCTATATAAGAAAGTCAAGAAGTATTTCTCCATGGACCTTGCTCAGTTCCCGCCTCCAGATTCCATTCCTGATTTTCTTCAGTGTTGGACTGTAACCTGGAAGTGGAAGATGAAAGACACACTTTCTTCCCAGGTTTCATTTAATCATGGTCTTTGTCACTGCACTAGAAAGCTAAACAAGACACTGGCTTTGACATGTAAGCAACTCCCATCATGCTCTCTGAATGGCTTTAGCAGCTGCACACACTGCATATGTAGGCAAGTTCTAAAGACACAGAAGTGAATTAAAAGGCAGCGGTTACAGTCAAAAGCAGTTTGGTCTTTTATTGAGACTCAATTACCTGTCAGTTAGACATTTCTTTTTAAAGTGGTAAAACCCATTACAGAAAATTTACCTGTAGTCCCAGACATTCCTACAGATCATATTCCCCCAGATTATGTTATATGCAAGGAAAATGTAACATCATTGGCTTAATCTATTTTAAATCATTCTCTGGAGTAGGGACGGATGCAGTTTCCTCTGGTGAGTATGATGGGTAAAATCTGAAAAAGCAATCTGGGGCCAAATTTCCAAGTGGCAGTTAAGTACTCAATAGTGTCTACAAACCATTGCTTTTTTTCCTCCCTTTGAGCTCTCTCTGTCTCTCACTGATTTTGTGTGTGTGTGTGTGTGTGTGTGTGTGTGTGTGTGTGTGAGAGAGAGAGAGAGAGAGAGAGAGACAAAGACAGAGACAGAGAGACAGAGACAGAGAGAATGTGTGTGTGTGAGAGAGAGACAGACAGAGAGAGACAGAGACAGAGAGAATGTGTGTGTGTGTGTGTGTGTGTATGATGCATCTGTACATATATGTGCAAGTGTTTACCTGCAGAGGTCGGCAAGGATGTTCTGTTCTGTCCTGTTCTGTCACTGCCTTATTCCCTTGGGAGAGGATCTCACACTGAACCTTGAGGGTCTGGGGGTAAATGAAGTTCACACATCTAGGAGAGATGAAACTTTCAAGATTCCCAGGGCCCCTTTCCAACATTCTAGAAGCGGTGAACAGCTGCGAGGGGTGGAGAGACCTGCTAAGCCTGTTGAAAGTGGAACTTTTGGACCTGTCAAGCTGCCTGCAAGTCATGTGTGTTGTGAGTACCTGTTCTGGGGGTGAGGAGGTAGGTGCTTGTATGCATGTGTATATGTCAGTGCGTGTGTGTACATGCACATGCGCACATATGTGTGTGTGCTTGCATCTGCCAAGAAAAGTCTCTCACACAAGAGCAGCCTCTCAGACGCTTTCAGGAACCCTTTCCCAGCTGCCTCTGCTTTAACTGCTCCTGAAGCAGCCAGGTTTGACTTGTGTTTTGATGGGATCTGGAGAACAGCTTTTGGAATTGCTGTTACTTTGGGAAGAGTGGGTGTTATGCGCAAATTCTTGTGTGGAAAAAATTATAGGGGAGGAGAGATTTGCAAAATTTTCATAGTGCTCATCTGAATTTAAAATTAATGGAGTACAATCACTAACTTGTAAATCATTTGACAAAACGATTTCTTGTTCATAATAGATAATGTGTGCCTTTCAAAGCACTGTCATTTTTGTAGCAAGAATTCTCACACTTCGGTACCTATTTTATGCACTCTTAGTGAGGCAGAGGTGCATAGTGAAACTCTCTCTCAATAAAAAAGAATGAAGCTCTCCTCACTGTCCCGGGCTTCCTTCAGCCAAGCCTTCGCTCAGCCTAGCTTGCAGACCTGGGACCATTTCTCTGTGTTAGTTCCATCTTGAACTCCATTTTGAGTTAAATGTTGTAAACTGCATAAGATCTGTTTCAAGTTTCTGGCTTTATGTCAAGTTGCTCCAATAGCACTTGCTGAATAGTTCAATAGTCTCCACCATTTTGGTATTAATCCTTTGTCAAATATCTAGTTCCAAATAGTTGAAATAATCTTGACCTAGAACTAAGCTGCATGCATCACATTTTCTGATTTTAAATGATGTAGAAATCACTGATAATTATGTCAGTATGGTACTGGCATAAAACGTGGTTTATAGGCCGATTGAACAGAATAGAATGCCAGGCATAAACCCAAGTGTATATAATCAACCAACTCTCAAAAAATGCACCAAAAATACAGAGGAAGAATTGATAATTTCTGTGTTAAGTCATTGTCTCAGTTAGAGTTTCTATTGTTTGTGATAAAACACCATGACCAAAAGCAAACAAGAAATAAAAAGGTTTTATCTTACCTTATGGGTCCATGTCACAGTCCATCATTGAAATAAGTCAGAGGAGTATGAAACTGAAGCAGAGGCTGCAGACGAGTGCTGCTTACTGGGTTGCTCAGACTTCTGTTTCATAGTAGGACCACCAGCCCATGGGTGGTACTACCCCCAGTGAGTCCACAGGCCAATCTTATACAACCATTTTCTCAACTAGAGTTCCTTCTTCTCAGATAAGTCTAACTTGTGTCAGGTTGACAGTAACTATCACAGTGATTTGGGGATAACTAGATCTTGATATGTGAAGTACATCATACACAAAAGTCAACTCAAGTTCCTTAGCAATAATTTTTCAAATTAGACACCCACACAGAGACAATGGAAGCTGAACTAAACCAGTGACACTATAAAAAAATGAATTTTTGCACAGAAGAGGGGACAGTCAACAGAATGGTAGGCAACATACAGAATGGGAGAAAACATTGGCAAGCTATATACCCAATAAAAGTAAATGTCGAAAATGAGAAAGTACACATTTGATGCAACAGCAAAAGCAGACCAGCAAACAAACAAGGCCCCAAATAGCCCAGTTTTAAAACTAGACAAGAGGATTACCAAATCAGAGACAGGCATAGCCAGCAAATGATATCTACCTAGGACCAAAGATGGCAGTAACTATAGACTTTTTATGAGACACCAGTCATAACCTAATTAAACCTTGCATGTTGCACTGAATCAATGAGATGCTTCAGCTGAATCTGTCACAAAAGCATTGTGCTGGTGGTAGCCTCCTATCGGTTTATGAACATGCTATCATTCTAAGACCTTGCCTTGAAGAAAACGAAACTCCAAGCTAAATTATGCCACAGACATATATCCAGAACTTCAAGTTACTACAACTAGTTTTTAGCAGGATGGGTATGAACAAAATCATTTTGGTGGATAAATTAGTAAAGGGGAAGTTAGTCAGATTGTTCAAAATGTTACTGAGTCAGTAGGCTATCTGCAGATCTTCACCATGCCCCATTCTCCTTCAAATCTCTCTCCAATCCTGCACTCTCACCCTCAACTCTATAGCAGACTATTTCCTGTAGCTTCCCTTCCTTCCCTGTGCCCACCTCCAGTGGATCTTTCAGATCTTCCCCTGAACAAACCCCACCACTGCTCATCACTTGGTCTCAGCTCTGAGCTCCAACAGGCATTCCCTGGGAACCTGGAGGACACTCCTTCCAAGAAAGCAGGTAGGTTAACTGTAAATTTGCACCTCTCCCTTCTCTCCTCTAAATCCACTCCCATCCCCCATCTCACCCCCAACTCCTTAGCAGACTACCTCCAACATCCTTTTCCTCTCTGTCCCCATTTCCAGCAGACCACACAGATCCCCTCCATCCTCCTCATACTCATCCTGTTACCCAAGCCCCTGAACTCCTGCAGATATTCCCTGGGAACCCACCAGCTAAGCCTGCCAGAGAAGAAAGTAGGTAACTAAAACAGGCAAGCAAGTTCAGCCTTCACTCTCCTTTCTCTCCTCTAAATTCAATCCCTCCTCTTGTTTCATCCCCAGCTCTGGAGCAAGCTACCTGTTGTAGCCTCTCCAGCCCTCTCTCTACTCCCATCCCCAGGGGACTAAGCAGACCCTGCTTTCCTCCACTTTATCCTATGAACCCTCTCAGCCTCCCCCTCTCTGAGCCATTCCCTTTCTAGGTGTCCTCTCCCAACAGAGAAAACACAGTTTACCATGAACTCCCAGTGGCTACACCGAGTAAGATTCCAAAAGATTTCCCTACCAAGCAAGACACAGCCACCACACCCTCTAAGAACCAGAGAGGGAAACAGAAATCAAGGAACAAAGACCAGATATCAACATAGATCCTGAAAATTGCAACATAGCTGAAGCACAAG